GCCGCGGGGGGGGTGGAGCAGCAGGCAGCATTGTTGTGGGCAGGGGGTGCGAGCCAGGGGCCAGTGCATCGTCCCCAAGCTGGGCCGTGTGATGGGGGCTGCCACAGCATCTCTGCTAGAAAAGTCTGGATCCTCCGGTCGTCACGGGCAGGGGATTTGGGGATGGATGCAGGTGTTTCTCTGCAGCCAAGGCCGGATCCTGCACCCTTCTCTGGGCAGCGCTGAGCCCCGGCTTCCCTTAGGGCTGTGTCTGAGCTGCCTTTCCTCTGCGGCATGCCTCCTCCCCTGCTTTCTTCCAAAAATAGCTCAGTGCCAAATGCTTTGCCCACCGACAGCTGCACAGCCCTATGGCCACCTGCGCCCCGCGGGCAGGGCCCCCGCATCCCTGCCACGCAGGGACCCCACGGGTGCCTGGAGGGTGACATCGTGCGCGGTGGCAGTGGGTGCTCCCGGGGCGCTGTTTGCCCCCATCCCGCTCCTGCCAGGAGCACTTCCCACCTGGGCCCTGGCACCCAGGTGCAGCCAGATGTTGCGGCAGGTCCCAACTGAACGCTCACAGCTGGCGGCCCCCCAGCTCACCCGTGTGCCACAGCTGCGGCCCCCTGGCTCTCCTCCAGCGTGCCCACGCCTGGCTCCTGGGAAAACCAGGCTCCCATTTCATTCCCCGCCATCTCCTGCCATGCCTTATCCTGCATTATCGACAGGGAAAAGCAGCCAGGTCCCTCCTGGGGTCACCAGCCCTCGAGACACCCCCAAGGCGGGGGTGGGCAGCACAGGGCACCCCGGTCCTGCTCAGCCTGGGCAGCGAGGACGGACATCACGCCCAGCGACTGACGGTGCTGGCAGCTGCCTGCAGTCACGTGGCTTTGCAAAAGCATTGATTCCCTTTATCCAAAGCAAACTTGTCCACTGAGAATCACACCCGTAAAGGCTGCAGCCTCTTTTTTTTTTTTTTTTTTTTTTTTTTCCCAGCCTGCTCCCCCAGTGCAGCTGAACTCTGACTCATGACTGCACCCTCGGAGCTGGCAGCGCGACTGCCGCGGCCATCCCAGCCCGGTCTGCGAAGCATTCCTTAAATGTACAAACAATCCCTGGCCCCGCAGGCAGCGCCGTGCTCGCCCGCCCAGCAGCCGGCTCGAGCTTCAGCCCCACGGCACCAGGGCTGGAGGGAGGCGAGAGGGGCCCGGCGGATGGCGGGGGGTGGCCGCGGGGTGCTCCCCGGGCCGGGGGGCAGTGGTTTGTGGCCGCGTGGGGCTCACCGGCCCCCGATTTGCAGGGTTTGGCTGGACGTGGCCCCGTTGTTGTTGCAGGTTGATGGTCCCCTGGTCAGCGGCATTGCAGGGAGAAGATGGCTCAGCCTGCACCCCTGAACCAGAACCTCCCAGGTAAAGGGACTGGGGTCGTCGCTTGGCAGGGACAGCAGATGGAGCGGGAGGGGAGTGGCAGGGCTGAACTGTCCCATCCCGTCCTGATGGGTTTCCTCACCCCAGCGCTGACCCTGACACAGAGCAGGTGCCCTGTGACACCCAATGGCACCGAGGGTGTTGGGGACGGGCCACCTGCCAGCAGCAGCACGGCGGGGAGGCGGGCTGCAGGCTGCAAATCCCAGTATAACCCACTTGGAAAAGCTTTCCTGTCTTCACCAGGTCCCTGCCTAACCGCCCGTGCTCCTCTTGCAGATCTTGGGGGCCCGTTCTTGTACCGGGACCAGGACGATGGGGAGAAGAGCTCATATTCAGTGGAAACCCCCTATGGCTTCCTCCTGGACCTGGATTTCCTGAAATATGTCGATGACATCGAAAGCGGCCAAACACTCAAGAAAGTGCCGCTGCCTCGCAGGGCAAAAGGGGCCCGGCAGCCACCCAGCACCCTGCGCAGCCCCAGCAGCCACGCCAGCGCCTGGACCTCCACCGAGTCCCTCACCTCCACCACCAGCGAGGAGGGCAGGACTGCGCTGCTGCTGTCCCCACACGGCCGGCCGCCCCTGGAGCCCCCGAGCAAGCCAACCTCCCACGCCGTCTCGCCACCGCCGCCGGTGCGGCTGGCCCCACCCCCCCCCCCCTGGCGCCCCCGAGCACGCCACCCCCCCCCCCCGTCCCGCCCCCGCCGCCGGTGCGGCTGCTCCCACCTCCCACCCGCAAGTGCCTCGTGCGAAACCCGCAGGTGGAGAAGACCTTGCTGGAGACAAGCAGGAGGCTGGAGCAGGAGCAGGGCCATTTGCAGGATATCGGTGGTCCCTCTCGTGGTGGCCTGCCGGGTGCCCCGAGTCAGCCACCCCCCTGGGTGCCGGTGGGTGTCGAGGGCCAGGTGGGCTGGGGACGGGCGAGCCCCAGCAGCTCGGGGCGCAGCACGCCGGCAGCGGGGCTCAGCGCCGCCCCACTGCAGCACGTGCGGGAGCAGATGGCCGCAGCCCTGCGGCAGCTCCGGGACCTGGAGGAGCAGGTGAAAACCATCCCCCTCCTGGAGACGCAGATCTGCGAACTGAAGAGGGAGAAGGCGAAGCTGATGGAGAAGCTGTTAGCGGAGCCCAGTGAGGGTTTCGGCCACCCCTCTGGCTCTGAGACGGTGGCGGGGGGCAACGAGCTGCCCCGAGCAGGGCCAGAGAGTGAAGCGGAGCCAGCAAAGGGGCGAGCGAGCAAGATTGCGGAGCTGAGGAAGCTGACGGAGAAGCTGGCCGTGCCGGAGCGGGGTGGCAGGGCTTGGCCAGGCAGGAGCCCCCGGGCCGCCGAGAGGCCGTGCCGCTCTGTGGCTGTGGGCGAGGACCGGGCCATGACTGACGCTGTCTTCTACTACCGGTCGCAGCAGGAGGGCGGTGATGCGCCGGACGGCGGGGCGAGGGAGCGCAGGGATGCGGCCGTCTGGGTGCTGGAGTCCTCGCTGGGGCTGGCCAGCGAGGCAGAGCGGGAGCTGGAGCTGCTGCAGCAGACAGTGGGGCACCAGAAGGAGGTGATCGCCCTGATGGAAGGGCACCTGCGGGAGGCCACGCGGGAGCTGGAGGAGCTGCGGCTGGAGGTGTGCGCCCGTCGGCCCTGCGGGCAGGCAGACAAGGAGGTGACGGCCAAGCCGCAGGTGGCCGAGGCGGGGGGGGGGGCGGCCGCCCCGATGGGCAGGCGGTGGCGTTCGGCCCGGATTTGGCGGCCAGTTGTGAAGACAAGGGCAGCCAGACCGACGTGGGCAGTGCTGTCCCGGCAGGCGAGGAGACGCAGCCCGGCGCGGGCAATGCCCCGAGCAGCCCCTCGGCGCAGGGCACAGGAGCAATGGCGGGGACGTGCCAGGGCAGCCCAGCCCCCGGGGCAGCCACACCAGAGGCGACACACAGCGGCCGGGACCCATCCCCGGCACGGGATGGCAGAACTGCCCCGAGCCCTGCGGCCGGTGAGTCGGTGCCGGGGATGACACCAGGGTCTTGGCTGGGACGTTCCTGCAGGAAGGGAGAGGGCGGCCCTGTTGGGCACAGCGCCTGCGGGGCCAAATGTGCCTGTGTCACAGAAGCTGCCTGCACTGTGCCCGTGTCCCTCCCGTGCCCACCCTGGGGTCTGGCGGGTTTGGGGTGCCCGGGCAGCCCCGTGGGGAGGTTCCTGCTCACTGGCCCCTGACACCCATCTCTCTGCCCCCAGGAGCCCTGAAGTCCATCATGAAGAAGCGGGATGGTCCCCCCCGGAGCGAGGCCGAGGGCAGCAAGAAGAGCCTGCAGTTTGTGGGCATCCTGAACGGGGAGTACGTGCCGAGGGGCTCCTGCCACCCCCCTGGGCCAGCCCCGGCCCCCGGCATCCCCGTCCTGGGCTGGGGGCAGTGGCAACGGGGGGCCTGGAGGGGACCAGCTGGGTGCCGCGTTGCCACTGAGCATCCTCCCTCCGTTCAGGTACGAGAGCACATCCAGCGAGGAGGAGGAGGAGGAGGAGGAGGGCGACAGCTCCTCTGAGAAGGCTTCGGCCGACAGCTCCGACAGCGAGGAGCAGGGTGACACTGAAACCTCGGATGAGGAGGCTGGGGAAGGCGAACACGAGCCAGGAGGGGAGCACGAGGGGGCCGGCGTGACCCTGCCGGAGCCCCCCGAGGTGAAGGAGAAGTAAGTGCCGATGGGGAAGGCTCCCTCGCCCTGTGCAGCTGCGAGCCACGGGCTGGCACCGGCCCTGCCGACTCGGGCCGTCTGCCCCAGTTTCAGTGCAGCCGATGGGAAAAACACATTCAGCTCCTGCGGAAACCATTCGGCAGGAAAAAAATCCTTCCAGCTTCTTGGGTCTGCTAAGGAAAGGATGAGACCGAGGCCCCGGCTCCCTCTCTGCTGGAGGAGATAGCTTGGAGGGGGGGAAAAAGCCCAACAGCCTTTAATGGCATTTTTCAACAAAAGGAAAAAATTCAGCCTATAAATGGGTAAATCATCCCTGAGCACGTCCGTATGCGGCTTAGTTCGGCGGGGGTTTGCAGAGGCTGAAGCTGCCAAGGTGCAACCACCAGGCTGGCTCGTGCAGTCTCGCAGGCATCGGGGAGAGGAGCAAAACCTCCGCGGGGGGACTCGGGGCGGCCCTTGCCAGCGCAGTTTTGGTGAGGCGATGCCACCCCGCACCGCAGACGCCCTCCTGCTCTCCCCAGGTTCGAGCTGAGCCCCAGGATGCGGGAGGCCTGCCTCATTGTCAAGACCCACCTGGGCCACCCCGGTGCCACCAAGAGCAAAGAGGCGGTGAGTGGGGTGCTGCGGGTGGGATGGCTCGCCCGGCCCCTGCCGGCATCCCCCTGGGGCTGGCCCTCCCCAAAGATGGGCCAGCAAAGCCTGGCTCAGCACCTTTCCCCAAACACAGCCCCTTGCTCCAGGCTTTGTCCCAGATACCCCAAAACCCGTGTGGGCTCAGCTCGGGCCATCCCAGCGTGGTTTTGGGGTTTCAGGGTCCTGCCTTCACCCAGTCCCCTCTGCAGCGGGATTTCTGCTCCCCCCTGGGCCGGGTGCAGGGTGGGTGCCTGGGGCGGTGCAAGGCCATGCAGAGGCTCGGGGGGAGCCACGGCCCCCAGCTCAGCACCGCTCGTTGCCCACAGCTCGCCAGCAGCAGCCTGGTCCTGCAGGAGTGGTTCCGTCTGTCCAGCCAGAAGTCGTCCGTCCCCGACACCGTTGCCAACCACCTCCTGGCCTTTGCCGAGGTCTCGCCGGCTCTCCTGGCCCACGTGGTGAACCTGGCAGACGGGAACGGCAACACGGCCCTGCACTACAGCGTCTCCCACTCCAACTTCCACATCGTGCAGCTGCTGCTGGACACGG